GGGCCCGATTCCAGCTCGGTATCCGGCTCTGGCCTCCCCGATCCGCCGCCGCCACCGTGAGCGAGCACGTACGTACGCACACACGTCCTGCGTCCCTTCCCAGCTACCCCTGGGTTTCGTCCCCAGGGCCGCGCACGCCGCACTCTCACGCTGCTTGCAGGCATCCACCCATCGGGGCAAGGACGCGCTGGGGGTGGGGAGGAAACTGTAAGGCTTGTGTGGATACCGGCCAAGCGGGCTTTGTCCGCTTCCACACGAAGAGATTTCCTCAGTCCTTTACCCTTTTTATCCAAACTTGTGGCTTACACAGTTAAGTTTGAAGATTAAAAGAAATAGTGTCGCCGCTCCGCAAACCGTACTTGTGAGACATGGTGGTGAGGTCTGTTTCGCTAGAATAGCCTGAAAACATCCAGTTCTTAAAATAACGTCAAGAAAGAGGGGCTTCGACCTTTTGTCCTGAGCACAAGTTATGCACATGTCGCAGCGGGGAACATAATCGCGGAAGAAGAATTTCAGAAACTGAGGAATGGAGAATCCGATATCCTGAAACGGAAATCACTTAAAACTTGTATCTTACATATTTTACACAGAATATGTGAGAAGTGTAAATTTACTGAGGAGCCCTGGCAGTGATTAAAGCGCTCTGTTGCTAACCAAAATTAGTAGGCGGTTGAAACCCACCAGCCGTTGGGGAGAAAGATACAGCAGTCTGCTTCCATGAAGATCTACAACCTTGGAAACCCTGTGGAGCAGTTCTGTCCTATAGTATCGCTATGAGTCAGAATCGACTGGATGGCAGTGGTTTTGGTTTAGTGTGTTTGGTATAAATTTACTGAACTGAAAAAAAAAAATAAGAGGAAGATGAAGGACACCTTGAGGCAAGTCGGGCAGGGTCGGAGGCACTATAGCTATTGTTGTTATGTGCCGTCGAGTCACCCATGACTCATAGCGACCCCTCCTTGGGTTTTCTAGGCAGTATCACTACGGAAGTAGGATTGCCCAACCTTTCTTCCGAGGAATGGCTGATGGGTTTGAACCGCCAGCCATCTGGTGAGCAGTCAAGTGCCTTAGCCACTATGCTATAGAAGGATTGAAAAATGGGCAGAAAGGAAAATTGAAAAGGCAGTGAAAAAATAACCTAAGGATATCCATATTAAAATTAGAGAATATAATAGGGGAGCTGGGATTAGACCAGTTAATCAAAAATGGTCTAGGAGAAGTTCGTAAAATAGAGGGAAAAAAAAAACCAAAAAACTCAATGCCATCGAATCGTAACTGACCCCCTCCTTGAGGAGTGGCTGGTGGATTTGAATCGCTGGTCTCCAGGTCAAATGCCTTAAGGCTACGCCACCAGAGAGAACATGTAAATAAGGGATTGGGAGGAAGGACTGGATAGTTCACTTCCTCCTGCACGAACACTTTCTTTCCCAGACTATTCAATGAGCATGTACTGAGTGCCCACTATGCATTCAACCAGGTGCAGGATTAATGTTCCCCAGAGCAGAGCCAGATATGTAAACAAATAATGGCAGCCATGTGACAAGCACTGTTATGAACAATGGAGCTCTGGCCTTCAGTGAAAGCTCTAGACTAGACCTTCAGAACTGTCTGATTTGCAGCCAATCATAGGGATGGTGCCGGACCAGACAGCATTTTGTTCCCTTGTGCATGGGGTCATCATAAGCAGAGGGCTGAGTTTACTGCAGCTAAGAACAACAGACCTACCTGGGGAAAGGAGAGTTAAGAATGTGTTTCCAGGTTTCCTGGAAGAGAAGCAATCTGAACCAACTGTTAGAATGTGAACTGGAGATACCAGGTGTTGTTGTTGTTATGTGCCGTCGAGTTGGACCCGACTCATAGCGACCCCTCCTTGGGTTTCCGAGGGTTTACTCCGGAAGTAGGATTGCCTAACCTTCCTTCCGAGGAGTGGCTGGTGGGTTTGAACCGCCAGCCTTCTGGTTAGCAGTCAAGTGCCTTAGCCACTATGCTACCAGAGCTCCCAAGGAGATACCAGGTAGAGAATACAATTGCAAAGGCTGGAGACAAGACAGAACAAAGCATTTCAGGGAGCTGCCAGCATTTCTTAGTTGCTAACCTAAAGAATTAGCCCTGGTGGCGCAGTGGTTAAGTGCTTGGCTGCTAACCAAGAGGTCAGCATTTGGAACTCACCAGCTGCTCCAGGGGAAAATCTTCCGTAAAGATGACAGTCTTACCAACAACCTTTGATTTGCATCTGAGCACTTAACCACAAGGCCACCAGCACTCCCACAGACTAGGACAAACCTTCAATGAAACAGGAAAAAAAAAAAAATTCCAGTGTTGGAAACCCTATGGGGCAGTTCTACTCTGTCCTATAAGATTGGAATTGACCTGACAGCAGTGGTTTTTTTTTTTTTTTTTGGTTTAACCAAAGGTTGGAAGTTTGATTCCACTCAGAGTCACCTCTGAAGAAATGCAGAATAGCAATCTACCACCCCTTGAAAACCCAACGGAGTACAGGTCTACTCTGACCCACATGAAGTTGCCATGAGTTGGAGTCAATTTGGTGGCAATTGGTGATGGCGGTGGTGTCAGCATTTCAGCATGATTGTAACTCTGAGTTTCAAGAGAGTGACTGTCAGAAGAAATGTTGATATTACATGCAAATTTTGCACGATTTTCTATGCCATGCAGAGGAGTTAAATGTAATCTTATAGAAGATGCAGTATAAAAGTATGGACGTTGGCAGTGTGGATTACACCTCAATATAAAGAAAACAAAAATCCTCACAACTGGACCAATAAGCAGCATCACAACAAACGCAGAAAAGATTGAAATTGTCAAAGATTTCATATTACTTGGGTTCACAATCAACATCCATGGAAGCACCAGTCAAGAAATCAGATGATGTATTGCGCTGGGCAAATCTGCAGCAAAAGACCTTTTTAAAGTGTTGAAGAGCAAAGACGTCACTTAGAAAACTAAGGTGTGCCTAACCTAAGCCATGATATTTTCAATAGACTCATATGCATGTGAAAGCTGGACAATGAATAAGGAAGACTGAAGAAGAGTTGATGCTTTTGAGTTGTAGTGTTGACAAAGAATACTGCAAGTACCATGGACTGTCAGAAGAATGAACAAATCTGTCCTGGAAGAAGTGCAGCTGGAATGCTCCTTAGAAGTGAGAATGGCCAGACTTAGTTTGGTCATGTTGTCAGAAGGGACCGTTTCCTGGTGAAGGATAGCATGCTTGGTAAAGTGGAGGGTCAGGGAAAAAGGGGAAGACTCTCAATGAGATGGATTGACATAGTGGCTGCAATGATGGGCTCAAGTATAGCAAGGATTGTGAGGATGGTGTACGTCTGGGCAGTGTTTTGTTCTGTTCTACATAGGTTCGCTGTGAGTCAGAGCCAACTCAACAGCAGCTAACAACAACGTTGTTGTTATGTGCTGTCAAGTCAGACTGACTCATAGTGACCCCTCCTTGGGTTTCCGAGGCGATATCACTACGGAAGTAGATTGCCCAACCTTCCTTCCGAGGAGAGGCTGTGGGTTTGAACTGCCAGTCTTCTGGTTAGCAGTCAAGTGCCTTAGGCACTATGCTGCCAGAGCTCCCAACAACAACAATAGAAGATGGGGAATTTTGAAGGATGTTAAGCAAGGGTGTTATAGCTAGGTTTGGATTTTAGAAAGGTAACTCTAGCAGAGTGTGAAAAGAATTGGGTTGGGAGAGAGGCTGGAAACCCTTTTAGAGGCTTCTGAAATTAGGTAAAAGTGCTGAGGGTTTGAAGTAAAGAAGGCCACAGTGACAATAAGAAATGGAGATACGGAGAAGAGTTTAGGCTATTTAGGAGCTTATACTACTTAACACCACATGTTGTTGTTGGGTACCATTGAACTGATTTTGATTCATTGGGACGCCATGTGACAGAGTAGAACTGCCCCATAGAGTTTTCTAGGTTGTAATCTACCACAAATTATGATGTTGGCAAAGAATATTACATATACCATTGACTGCTAGAATGAACAAATATGCCTTGGAAGAAGTGGAAGAAGTAGAGCCAGAATGCTCCTTAGAAGTGAGGATGGTGAAACTTTGTCTCACATACTTTTGGACGTGTTATCAGGAGGGACCAGTCTCTAGAGAAGGACATCATGCTTGGTAAAGTAGAGGGTCGGCAAAAAAAGAGGAAGACTCTCAATGATGGATTAACACTGGCTAAAGTGGATTAACAGTGGGCTCAAACAGAAACGATTGTGAGGATGACGCACGATCGGGCAGTGTTTCATTCTGTTCTACATAGTCGGAACCAACTAGACAGCACCTAACAACAATCTACTGCCAACCTTTCAGTTAGCAGCCAAGTGCTTGCTCAACCCTTGCACCACCAGAAGTCCTTTAATGTCACATAGCACTGTAATTTACCTGTTCGGGAGTCTCGCTGTGCGCACAGACATGTGGTGTCTCAATGAGTAGGACTTTCGTGTTCATTTTTGTATCTTCAGCATCTACTCAGCGCCAGACAGAGTCGCCTCTGGTGAAGGTTGACAAAATAAATTCGGAAATGAAATACCAGGGTGAGCAGCTTGGAGGAGCTCAGAGAGTCTAGGAGAGGGCTGAGAGACACAAGATTAAATGCTGGAGGGCAGAAGTTCATAGGGGAGAGTGAGGAAGAAGAATCTCAAAAGCTATTCTCCACCTCTTCCACAAGCGCCCAGTCCCTCTCAAGAGAAACTACCAGCGTCCAGTTTTCCCGCCGCGAGCAGGCGGCTCCTCCTACTTGGCTCTTTGTGGATAAAAGCGTTTGGTTCTAGGCCACGCCCCTCCTTGACTCCGGCTGCGCTTCTCCGCCCTTCTTTCGACCTACACTAGGAGACATGCCTCAGTTTTGCTAAGCCACGCCTACCCGAGTCCCTCCAAGGCACATCCTCCATTGGCCCCGCCCCCTCTCTCTTGGCCGGGCCCTCGCGCGGCTCTCGCCAGGGGGCGCAGCAAAGCCAGTCGCCCTTCTGTCCTCGCCAGTCGCACACACCCCCTCCGCCTCTCGCGCCGGCAGTTCTCAGCCGACGCCGCCTCCGCTTCAAGCTCTCCGGGCTGCGCCGGCTCCGGCTCCCGGAGGGGTCAGAAAAGGGTTCCGGATGATGGTGGCGGGGTCCAAGAGACCAGGCGTATAAGCTGGCCGGCGTCATGGAGGCGGAGCAGAGACCGGCGGCGGGGGCCAGCGACGGGGCGACCCCCGGGCTGGAGGCAGAGCCTCCCACTGCCCCGGCGACTGCGACCGTGGGCTCTGGTCCGACCACCGGGTCTGGACCTGAGCCCAAGAGGAGGCAGCTCAGGACGCTGCTCCAACCCACCGTCAACAAGTTCTCCCTTCGCGTGTTCGGCAGCCATAAAGCAGTGGAAATCGAGCAGGAACGGGTCAAATCAGCGGGGGCCTGGATTATCCACCCCTACAGCGACTTCCGGTACTGGGGACCTGGCAGGGAGGGCTGGGGACACAGACCCCACCTCCATGGGCCACGAACGGGGGCTAGGTCTGCTCTACATTCCACGGTCACTTCATTTCCGGCCCAGGGGTCCCAGGGTGTGTCAGGGAAGTCACCTCCCCCCACCTAGCCCGGGAATTCCTGGGTTGGGAATCCCCTGCTGGAGGTCCTTGGTGACTTCTCCGACTAGGGGCACCGGAAGGGGCATGCAGACATCAGTGATCGACGGGGACCTGGATTTACCGTTCAGAAACCGAGACCTTACTTGGACCTCAGGAGCTGCCAGGGTTAGGAACCCTTGCCTCTTCCAGTTGTACTTTCTGGGGATCTGAGATATTCTGTTACATCCCAAGGCTCGGGGCAAGCTGGAGGGAAAAGCCTAGCTTCGCCGTGTCCTACCCCCCAGCACCTGCTTAGTTCAGCGGGGCAGGGTACCGGGAAAATTAGGGACGCGGGGAGGAGGGACAGCGGCGCTGTCCCTGGTGCTGAAGACAGGGGGAGGGGCGGAGCCAGGACTCAGCGGTTTAGGGGGCGGTGAAGGGGCACAGCCACCGCCCAGGTGACTCCTAGAGAGAAGAAGGGGTGGGGGTGGGGCTATTTCATGGGCCCATCAGGCTGTACCTCTACATCAAGGTCGCTAGGGGAGGAGAGCAGCCCTGTCCTTGGGGAAATGAAGGGCAGCTTTTGGATGGGGCAGGATGAGAAAGGAGCAGAAAGATGAGGTGTGAATCAGGAGCCTGAAAACACAGTTGGAGACTTAGATGTCATCTTGAATTCACAGACATACACACTCCCTAAATGTTCCTCCTCCCCTCATAGTTCTTCATTCTTCTCTTCTTTACTGCCTCATTCACATCCCTCCAAGGCACCTTTTCTAGTCTCTTTTGACCTTTCCTCCCCTGTTCCATTTCACCCTCAGATGTATCCCCAGAAGCCATGTATCCCCCTTATGATGGTGCTTCTTCTCTGTCCTCTCTACTGCATCACCCGCTGGGCTTGTGATCGCCTGTGAGTCAGGCTGTGAAGATGCTCTATGGTTAGGTGAACCCTCTTTCCTTCGTCTCTCCCAGCTCACAGTACAGAACTTCCCCTCAGTGGTCTAGGAGGGAGAGGAAGAAGCGGCCAAGGACTCATTGGTTCAAAGCACCACAGTCTGAGAGGCTTCCTCAAAGCTTGGAGGAAAAGCCTGGATTTTGAGACCACCAAGCCCCTTTTAGGAGCTGAAAGGATTGATTTTGCAGTCAGAGTCAGAGGAGCTGGGTCCTGGGTTGATGCTTGGATTAGGCGTTTCCTGGAAATTAAGCCACTACAGGTAATGGAGACCCTGAGATTGTCCAGTGATTTTCTCTGAATGAGGGCTTCACCCAGGTCCCTCTTGACCCCTTCTTTCCACAGCTGCTGCAACAGCAGTGTGGCTCTCCCCTGCTCATGCCCTTGCCGGGACTCAGCCAGAGTCCTGGTGCAAACAGGGAGGAGACAGGGGGAGAGGAAAGGCATGCAGAGCTCCAAGCCTTGCTGACTGGGGATCCCCTATGGAGTCTTTCTGTGTGTGCAGCCCTGTCTGTGGGGCTGTGGAGCGGGGAGGGATAGCCTTGAAAAGGCTCAGTTTAGATGGGAGGCAGGACAGATCCCTGGGACACATATGAGCAGATCCTGGCAGGGAAATAGGAGTCAGAGGTCTGTGTTGGTGAGGAGGGACAGAGTGGGGAAGGCTAAGGAAGGTGTGAGGTTCTAGATTAGGAATGGGCTGGAAATGGGAGAGCAGCAACCTCTTCGATAGAGGATAAAGAGTGGGTGAGTCATAACACCAACTAGTGCTTTTATAGCACTGTCACTTCCATTGTCTCACTGGATATTTTTTTCAACAACCCTATGAGAGAAACATAGTGTACTTTTTTTAAAATTTAAAAATATTTAATAATAGTCATATGCATATATATATATATATATATACACACATAGATACATATATACACACATATATATATAGTAGGGACATACTATCTACATATACACGTATGTACAGCTGAAGGAATCATTCATTATAAAGCAAATCTCCCATGTAATAGCTATCTAGGTCAAGAGATACTACACTGTCAGCTCCCCAGAAACCCCCCTGTGCTCTCACTTTCCTTTCCCAAACCTACTAATCTGAAATTCGTGGTACTCATTTCCTTATTTTCTTTGTGTTATTACCACTTTTGTTTGAACCTCTAACTAAAGTAGTTTTGGCTGTTTTTAAACTATATAAGTAGAATCATCTAGTATGCATCCTTTTGTGTCTTGCCGCTTTTTCTCAACGTAAATTTGTAAGATTGATCTATGCTGCTGCAAGTAGCTATAGTTGGGGGATTTCACTACTGTAAAGTATTTCAGGCCATGATATATCTCAGTGTATTTATCTGTTTTTCTACTGATGAATATTTAGGTTGTCTCAGATTTAATGCTACTACATATAAGGCATTCTATGTGGCATAACTATGTGGATCATAACAAATTATAGATGATAATGCAAAGAATGAGAATTCCGGAACACTCGATTGTACGCATGAGGAACCTGTACGTAGACCATGAGGCTGTCATTCAGCCCGAACAAGGGAATACTGAATGGTTTAAAATTAGGAAGGGCATGTGTCAGGGTTGTATCCTTTCACCATACTCATTCAATCTGTATGCCAAGCAAATAATCCAAGAAGCTGGACTATATGAAGAGAAATGTGGCATCAGGATTGGAGGAAGACTCATTAACAACCTGCAGATGACATAACCTTGCTTGCTGAAAGTGAAAATGACTTGAAGCACTTACAGATGAAGATCAAAGACTACAGTCTTCAGTATGGATTACACCTCAACATAAAATAAAAGTCCTTACAACTGGACCACTAAGCAACATCATGATAGATGGAGAAAAGATTGAAGTTGTCAAAGATTTCATTTTACTTGGATCCACAATCAACACTCATGGAAGCAACAGCACTGCCCAAATCTGCTGCAAAACACCTCTTCAAAGTGTTGAAGAGCAAAGATGTCACTTTGAACACTAAGGTGCACCTAACCCAAGCCATGGTATTTTCAATCACCTCATATGCATTGTGAAAGTTGGATAAGGAATAAGGAAGACCAAAGAATTGATGCCTTTGAATTGTGATGTTGTCAAAGAATACTGAAAATACCATGGACTGCCAGAACAAACAAATCTATCCTGGAAGCTGTGGAGCTGGAATGCTCCTTAGAAGCAAGAATGACCAGACATGATCTCACCTACTTTGGTCAGGTGGTCAGAAGGGACTATTCCCTGGAGAAGGATATCATGCTTGGTAAAGTGGAGGATCAGAGAAAAAGGGGAAGGCCCTCAACAAGATGGATTGACACAATGGCTGCAACACTGGGCTCAGGCAGAGCAGGGATTGTGAGAATGGTGCAGGACAGGGCACTGTTTCATTCGGTTGTCATAGGGTTGCTATGAGTTGGAATTGACTCAATGGCACCTTACAACAACAACAACAAACATTCCTGTTTAGGTTTCCTAGAGGACGTGTTTCCCTGGGGCATGTATATACTTATCAGTGGAATTACTGGATCATGGGGAATGCTAATGCTTACTTTACTACATAATGACAAACCATTTTCCCACTAAATAGTGATCCCAATTTATACTCCCACCTGTGGTCCTTCTGTTGTTCTGCACTGCTGCCCACTCTTGGACTCCAGACTCTTTATCTACTGTCAGTCTAGTAGCTGGTGAAATATCATCGTGGTCTTACTTTCCATCCTGCCCCACATTAGGTTTTACTGGGATCTGATCATGCTGCTGCTGATGGTGGGGAACCTCATCGTGCTGCCTGTGGGCATCACCTTCTTCAAGGAGGAGAACTCCCCGCCCTGGATCGTCTTCAATGTCCTTTCTGACACTTTCTTCCTGCTGGACCTGGTGCTCAACTTTCGCACAGGCATAGTGGTGGAAGAGGGTGCCGAGATCCTGCTGGCACCGCGGGCTATCCGCACACGCTACCTGCGCACCTGGTTCCTGGTTGACCTCATCTCCTCTATCCCTGTGGACTACATCTTCCTGGTGGTGGAGCTGGAGCCACGACTGGATGCGGAGGTCTACAAGACAGCTAGAGCGCTGCGCATTGTGCGCTTCACTAAGATCCTTAGCTTGCTACGGCTGCTCCGCCTCTCCCGCCTCATCCGATACATCCATCAGTGGGAGGAGGTGGGGTGGGGAGGTGGGCAGGGGGGGCTCAAAGACTCCAGGGTGGTACTATGGGCTGGGCTTCTGGTGGCTTCAAGGGTTGGAATAGATGAGTGGGGCTTCAATGGGTGGGCTCTCTCCAAAGTTGGTGATGGGGGAGAACCAAAGGTAAAATGAGGGTTCAGGGCATGAGGGTAGGGTGGGATGTTGGTACAGGAGGGTGGAGCACAGCTGCTGGGCGGTCCTTGGGCTTGGCTGGACACTGGGGAGGAACATGTAGCAAGAGGGAGCTAGGAATTGCAGGATGTAGAAGAAGCTGGGGCTTTAGTATCAGTTAGAGTTTACTAACTGACTGTGGTCTGATCCCAGTTTTGCTATTTACTGCATTGAGACTCAATTTCCTCTTCTGTAAAATGAGAATGTTAAATATACTTAACTTGTGATAAGGTTGTGAGGATTAGGAGTTAATACATGTTAAGCACTTATAGGAGTGCCTGCCACATAGTACGTTCTCAATAAATTAGTTATTATTATAGGGAGCTCTGGTGGCATAGTGCCTAAGGCATTTGACTGCTAACCAGAAGGCTGGTGGTTCAAACCCACCAGCCACTCCTCGGAAGGAAGGTTGGGCAATCTACTTCTGTAGTGATACCGCCTCGGAAGCCCAAGGAGGGGTCGCTATGAGTTGGCTCTGACTCGATGGCAGTGAGGTTTGTTTTTTTTTTTTTTGATAGGAGGGGAAGAAGGCTACTAGCATTTATCCACATGACACATACCCTGGGGATATTGCATTGTGAGATGTCCTCCTCTTTTCCAGGCAAGGCCTGGGCAGTTTGTGACCCAAGTTTGAGTCTCTGCCATGACTCAGTGTGATCCCAGGCAGATGATTGGCTCAGTTTTCTTGTCTATAAAATGATAGTTGTAGCAACCAAAAGATTTCAGTTTCCACCCAATGGGAGAATGATCTGGCAATCTACTTCCATAAAGACTGCAGCCTAGAAAACCCTTTAAGGCAGTTCTGTCACATGGGTTGCTGAGTCAGAATTGACTTGATGGCATCTACAACAGTAGCAACACAGCCTACCCTGTATTAGCTATATTAGCTATGCATGTGTAAAGCACTATACAAAGAGTAATAGGCACTTTTTTTTTTTTTAATTTGTGGGGCTGAGATTAGGGAGAAGTTTAAAGAGAGAATTTGCAAGGCTAGGAATGGAGGAGAACCAGCAGGGAGGGATTCTTGTCCACAGCGGGCCCCTCCTCGGACCCCTCAGATCTTTCACATGACCTATGACCTGGCCAGCGCTGTGGTTCGCATCTTCAACCTCATTGGGATGATGCTGCTGCTGTGTCACTGGGATGGCTGTCTGCAGTTCCTGGTCCCCATGCTGCAAGACTTCCCTCCTGACTGCTGGGTCTCCATCAACCACATGGTGGTGAGAAATCCCCACACTCTGCCTCTCCTGGGCTTTCTGAGGGCTCTCCTGCTTGAGTGGCAGTGCTGGCCACCAGGGACAGGAGGTGGGAGATGATGGAGCAATGACCAAGAGCAAACACAGGAGTGAGGGAGTGGGGAGGAGGGAGGAAAGGGGGCAAAGACTCTGAAGAAGTATTTGTGTGTTGGAGGAAGCAGGCAAGGAAAGAAGCCAAGACAGAGACTGAGAGCTCCCCAAAATGTAAAAGAGGCCCGATTGTGCTGCAGGACCCCTAGAATCAAACTTAAGTGCCTCCTGGGAGGTAGGTCTGAAGTAGAAGGGGCCAGACAAGAGGGTTGAAGAAGGAGTTGCAGCAGGAAGAGAATGAGGCTTTGAGGCAACTGTGCCGAGCTCTGCAATATACTCTGCCCCCAGAACCACTCGTGGGGCCGCCAGTATTCCCACGCCCTGTTCAAGGCCATGAGCCACATGCTGTGCATTGGCTATGGGCAACAGGCGCCCGTGGGCATGCCCGATGTCTGGCTCACCATGCTCAGCATGATCGTGGGTGCCACGTGCTACGCCATGTTCATCGGCCATGCTACCGCCCTCATCCAGTCACTCGACTCCTCCCGGCGCCAGTACCAGGAGAAGGTCAGCAGGGGCAGGAGAAGGAAGGGGTGGGAATGGAGGGGTGGTGAGGACTGGGAAGCTTGACTCGATACCATTCTGATGCATGCCCCTGTTGATCTCTATGTCCTTCCTTGCCTATGTCTGTTTGTTCCATGTCCCTGCATATATCCTTTTCTTTTTTATATCTCTGCTTGGTGTGCCCTTGTCCTTGGACTCCTCCTCTGCCCATGTCTGGGCTTTCCTGCGACTGTGCTATGTATCCTCCTTGTATCCACCATTAACCTATGTCCTTCTGTGACCCTATGCATCCCCGACTGATGTCATGTGACGTCATGCTTCATCCCCTCTGGGCTTGGCCTGTGTCTGTGACTTACCTCCACTTCCCTGCACCGTTCTGGCCCCACATCTGCCCCTGTGCCTCTTGCCTGCTGGCAATGGGCCGGCTCTCCAGTACAAGCAGGTGGAGCAGTACATGTCCTTCCACAAGCTGCCAGCTGATACTCGGCAGCGCATCCATGAGTACTATGAGCACCGCTACCAAGGCAAGATGTTCGATGAGGAAAGCATCCTAGGCGAGCTGAGCGAGCCGCTTCGGGAGGTGGGCCAGGCTGAGCCTTGAGACGGGAGGGTGGGGGAATCTTCCAGGAGTTGGGCTTCTGGGGATGTTGCCTAGGGGCAGAGACTAGGGACTGGGGGCTGCAGAGAACCCTATGGAAGGTGAGGTCTCTGGGGGGATTTGGGTCTTTCCAGAGGTCTTATGGGGGTGAAGTATGCATGGGAAGGGATTTCAGTGACCTCCATTTTGGGGGGTGGCCCTGCTGAGGGCTCATGGGAAACTCTAAAGGCAGACATTTAGGGATGGCCCCAGGCCCACTGATGTGTCTCTACCATGTGGCAGATCATGACCCCAGGGGTGGGTTTTCTGGGGACAGATGAGCTTGGTGTGGGCACCTCAGGGTGCGGGGCACAGCCTGCCTGACCGGTCCCTCCCCTGCCCAGGAGATCATTAACTTCACCTGCCGGGGCCTCGTGGCCCACATGCCGCTGTTCGCTCACGCTGACCCCAGTTTCGTCACGGCAGTGCTCACCAAGCTGCGCTTTGAGGTCTTCCAGCCGGGGGACCTCGTGGTGCGTGAGGGCTCCGTGGGCAGGAAGATGTACTTCATCCAGCACGGGCTGCTCAGTGTGCTGGCGCGTGGCGCCCGGGACACCCGCCTCACTGATGGATCCTACTTTGGGGGTCAGCAGGCCTCAGGGAGGTGGGGGGGTCAGGAGCAGAGGAAAGAGGGCAGCTGCTCCCCTGGATCAGGGTCCTTGCCTGGCTATGCTGTAGAATCACCGTGTCCCAGCCCCGTCCCAGGCCTACTCAGTCAGAATCTATGGGCCTGGGATTTGGAGCTCTGTCTTTTCTAAAAGCTTCTCAGGAGATTCCAGTGCACAGCCAGGTTGAAAACTCCTGTGCAGAGGGCCTTTTAGAACCGTTAAAGAGTGGAATTGGAGGATCTCTGTGATGAGGGAGAGATAGGAATAAAGCAGAGCTGTCCCAGGCGCTTGAGCTTTGGGGCTCCCTTCACTGCTGCCATGAGGCAGGGCCCCAGCCCATGGCAGGGGGGACAGTTCTGCCAGCTGCTGCCCAAAGTGACTTGAGGCTCCTAGATCATCTCCGTTACCAACCCACACACCACCCTCCTGCATCCCCATCACTTTGTACTTTGCCCTCTGGGACTTCTTTTCTCCTTTAGGGTTGCCCTTGATGTTCACTCAAATCTGCCTGGAAGGGGGAGGGGTACATGGAATAATTTATACTAGGTCCACCCCTTAGGATAGTGTTTATGGGGGGGGCAGGTCAAGTGGGGTTAAGTAGCTGGGCGTGAAGAGAGTGAGAAGGACAAGGAGCAGTGATCCAGAGAGAAGCAGGGAGTATGTAAGACTTACTTATGGAGTCTGGGGATAGACATGGCCCCTGAAAATGGTACAACAGTAGGAAGCTTGAGCATTTAGAGACCCCAGAGGTGGGTGGGTAATCATTAGTTTCTCCCAAGTCTGGGGAGGAGCCTGAGGAAACTGGGTCAGCAGCTACAGGCCTGGTGAGAGGGGATTCTGAGGATAGTGATTCTGAAGGCCTCCCCTCAACTCCTGCAGAGATCTGCCTGCTGACTCGTGGCCGACGCACAGCCAGTGTGCGGGCTGACACCTACTGCCGCCTCTACTCACTCAGCGTGGACCACTTCAACGCCGTCCTTGAGGAGTTTCCCATGATGCGCCGGGCCTTCGAGACTGTAGCCATGGACCGACTGCGCCGCATCGGTGAGGCCTGCCTGTCCTGGCTGCTCTGGGCTCAGGCTGTATCCTCACCCTATCTCCACAGCAAGGGCCCCTCAGGGTCCCTGGACCCAGGGTCTGGTGTTTCAGCATCACACCTCAACCCACCCCTGTTCTAGGGCTGTCCAGTAGGCTTTTCAATGCTGTGATGCACTGTCTTTATCCCTTAGTGTCTCTTACCCTTGGAGATTGCACCCCAAGTCCCCATCCCTTGAACACTCCCTCCCCTGATTACCAGTCCCTGACCCTCACACTCTCTGATACCTTCATCCCTGACCCTCTTTCTCCAACTCTCGTCTCCCACATTCCATCCCCTAACCCTTATCTCTTGACCCCTGCCCCACTGACTCCCCTCTTCAGTCCCAACCCCAGTGCTCCTACTGTATCCTCTACACATATCTGTTCATCTCCACATTCTTGATGTCCCTCCTTGACCCTCAAGCCCATCCCCATCCCTTGACTCCATCCCTTTACTCTCATACTCTTTGATATGTGTCTCTATCTCTGGATTCCTTCCATGTCCTTACCTCCTCCCTCCCTGGATGATTTCCAGGCAAGAAGAATTCCCTACTGCAGAGGAAGCGCTCTGAGCCAAGCCCAGGTAGCAGTGGAGGCATCATGGAGCAGCACCTGGTGCAACATGACAGGGACATGGCTCGAGGTGTTCGGGGCCTGGCCCCGGGCACAGGAGCTCGGCTCAGTGGAAAGCCGGTGCTATGGGAACCACTGGTGCATGCACCCCTGCAGGCAGCTGCTGTGACCTCCAATGTGGCCATTGCCCTGACTCACCAGCGAGGCCCTCTGCCCCTCTCACCTGATTCTCCAGCCACCCTCCTTGCCCGCTCTGCTCGCCGCTCAGCAGGCTCCCCAGCCTCCCCCCTGGTGCCTGTTCGAGCTGCTCCTCTGCTGGTCCGGGGCCCATGGGCATCCACCTCTCGCCTGCCTGCCCCACCTGCCCGAACCCTCCATGCCAGCCTGTCCCGGGCTGGGCGCTCCCAAGTCTCCCTGCTGGGCCCTCCCCCAGGAGGAGGTGGAAGGCGGCTAGGACCTCGGGGCCGCCCACTCTCAGCCTCCCAACCCTCTCTGCCTCAGCGGGCAGCAGGGGATGGCTCTCCTGGGCGGAAGGGCTCAGGAAGTGAGCGTCTACCCCCCTCAGGGCTCCTCACCAAGCCTCCAGGGACAGCCCAGCCCCCCAGGCCACCAGTGCCTGAGCCAGCTGCCCCTCGGGGGCCCCAGCTCTCTGCCAATATGTAAAACCCTAGGGCACTGCCAGCCTTAGCTCTCGGGGTACAGTAGTGTGTGCCTAGGGGCAGATACCTCTTGGGAAGGCAAAGGGGACCTGAACTATTGCCCTATAGGAAGGTCTCTCCTCACTGCCAGGAAGATGGATCTCTGTATCCCTATCAGGCCCCCTGTAGCCTGACATCCTCTTAATCCACTCATCTGTTCATCACATGGACTGAGTTCCTGCCATGTTCCAGGCACTGTGCCAGGCTCTGTATGTCTCTACTGCCAAATAGAAATGATTCCATACCCTCTGCTGAGGGTATACCCCTGGCCATGGCCCTGCCAGGTGCAGTTTCAGGCCCATGATCCCACCTTTACTAAGCACAAGTCCCTGCCACCGCCATCACTGCCAAGTAACTAGATGTCTCTCTGTTTCCATTGTGGGCTTACCCTGCCTACAACCCTGCAAGTTCTGCCCGGCACAGGTAATCTTCCTCTCCCCCTAATACAGCCTGGCACTGCCAACTACCTGTGTCCCCATCGCTGTCAAGAACAAATGTCCTGGGTCCTTAGCTTCCACCTTTGCCCTGTCACTGTTATCTGTGGACCCTCCCTGTCTATACCCTCTGAGTGGGGACACACGTATCTCCTGCCAAGTTCCCCATAGTCTCTCTTTGTGGTAGAAATGTCTTTTTGTAAACTGAGAGTCACCACCTCCCTCTGCCCCCAGCCCCCTGGAGCTAGGGGATAATTGGCCTGTCTTTATTTAGTGTGAGAGCCTAGATCCCCCCAGGTGGGGGCAAGTGGCTGTATCCTTAGATGACATTTTTTTCCTTCCTTCCTTCTGTTTGTATTTATTTATTAATTTGGTCATCTTATTTATTTGGTCATTTATTAATTTTATTTATTTATTCATTAGCTAATTTTGTTATTCATTTTGCCCACTCATTCCTTCACCCATCCCTCCTCTTCCCTCCTGGCAGGGAGACAGGAGGAGGCAGGGCCCCCTGCCAGCTCTCGTGGACCTGGCTCCATCAGCAGCAATACTTGGACTCTCTCCCTATTAAGGTAGGGGCAGGAAAGGCCACCCTTCCCATCAGGGAAGAGGACTGAGGACTGTTTTTATTTTCAGGGTTGTTTTATATTCCACTGAGTTTGCTGTTGATGCAGGAGTAAGGGGAGGGCCCATGGTATCCAACCCTGGGGAGAGGCAAGCCAGCCAGCACCTCTGCCTTCTCAGGGACAAGAGAAATCCCACTGGCATCCCTCTCATCCCTTCTACTCTACAGCATCAAAAATCATGGGGCCAGGACCCTGGCATCTAAATGTCCTTTGCTTCAGGGCTGGGGGATTCTGGGGTTCCTGGTGTGTAGAAGAAGTTTTATAATTGCTTCCAAACAGCTTTAAAAGACAATAGAGACACTCATTCTGGCTCCTGGTTTGTGTGAGGGAATGAGGTGGGCCTGAAGGGTTTTCTGGGTGCAGGAAGGGACAGCAGGGCCCAGCAAGGCATGAGGTGGGCATGAGAGCAGCCAAGGTGAAGCCTGTAACCTGGAGTTTGTGAAGACAGTGTTGAAATCAACCAGCCAGGCTCTTGGAGTCTCCCCAGCAATCACCCTCACCTCCAGCCCCATAGGGTACTTCAGCTTCCTGAAAAGGGTAGTACTTTGATGTCACTTTTCATTACAATGAAGGGGAAGCACTACCCTGGCCTGAAGCCATCAGAAGGAGGTGGCATTCTCCTCAGGTGGTACCCAGATTCCCATGAGGCCACAGGAGAACATCACATTACATGGATAAGAAGTATTTCTCAAAGAGTGATATTGTAGACAGTGAGGACACAATTGCCGTCTCCCCTCTCCCTCACCCCCAGGGCTGGGGGGATAGAATTAACCAGCCAAGCTGGGATTAAAGGCTCAGAGTGTTTTAGGGCCCAGATGAGAGGATTGGATGCAGGGAATGTCCAAGTGCTGCTGCTGGGTGGGCAGTGATTAATTGGACACAGGCTTTCAGGGCCTGTGTGACACAGAGAGGGGGAAGGGGCTCCTTGGAGTGGGGCTAGATGGGAGACATGGCCTCAGATGGAAACTCTGGGAGGGTTGGGGGTAGAGAGGTGGTGGGGCTATAAGAGGGGTGTGGGATGGAGAACATGGGGAAGAAGGGGGGTCAGGGGTGGTCTGGGTCAGAGATGAGGGATATCTCAGGATATGTTCAGCACCCGCATGATGTTGGTATAGCCAGAGCCAGGCCGCCAGCCTGTTACCACAATCACCAGGTCTCCAGGACGGAGGAAGCCGCGAAGCTTTCCTGGGGAAGGAAAGAAGACCATCAGCAGGGTGGACCCAGGCCCGCCCTGTGATGAGGTGCAGCCCTCACCCCTGAAGGGCTACCCTTAGGAAAGAAGGGTCCTGAGGCAAATTCTACAATGTATCCCACAGGTGGCACCACAAGGAATGGGACCACAGGTGTGTCCATGAGGAGGAATGGGATGTGTTGTTGCTAAGTAGCAAGTCTCCTGTCTACTTGTGTTGCTATGCTGATAGAAAGGGCTGAGGAATGAACATATATGAATTGTAAGTTAAATTTGTTTTAGTTGCAGCTGCTGGGAACTGGGAGCCCTTTTCTCCTCTCATCTCTTGCTCTTTAAGTCATGTCTGGCTCTAGCCACTTGGTGCAGAAAGCAGCTGAGTGACTTCTTTAGGGACAGCCCTGCATTCTCCCCTTCTATCTTCTCCCCTCAGCATGTCCTTCCTTCAGAAGCCAAGATACCTGTGGGTCTCAGTGAATCTCAAAGGACAAATCTGGGAATTGGACAGGGGCAAGGTAGGCTCTTTGGGTGGGTGCGGGAGGCGGGGACTTTGCTATAAATGCCAGAGGTAGGTGGGAAGGAAGGTCTAGGCAACTCACCACTTTCAATGCCAAACTGGACCCGGCGATCCACATCATCTGCCCAGATGGCCTCTGGAAGTTCACGGTAGAGCAAAGGGAAGACTCCTCGGCATAGGTGGGCCTGGCGAGCAGCCTGGGCAGAGCGGGTGACAGCAATGACTGCCGCTCGAGGTCGGTACCGAGAAAGAAGCTGGGCTGAGCTGGAGGAGGTAGAGAAGGTCAGCTGAGAACAGTGACAGGATGCTGAACCAGCAGACGCGAGTCTGGGTTTTACTTCCAGGGGTCACCAACAAGCTGTCTGGGTAAGTCATCATACTTCTCTGGGCCTTGGTTTTCTCATCTATAAACTAGGCATAAGAATACCTGCTTTTCTATATCACACAGGATGATACAGTAATCCAATGAAGTAGTGAGAAGCCTCTTTGAAAAACGTAAAAACCCTTTTGAGAATGTACATTTATAGTGCTTAATATATAAAGTATCACGTTCATAAAAAACTAAAAACCAAACCCACTGCCATGGAGTCAATTCTGATTCCTATTGGGTTTTCAAGGCTGTAAATCTTTATGGAAGTAGATTGCCTTATCTGCCTTCCACAGAGAAGCTGGTGGTAGATGTTTAAAACACTGACCTTCTGGTTAGCAGCCAAATGCCAGTGCCCCTTAACATGTTCATAAGGTACATGTTAATTTATAAAGAGCATGTTGTTGTTAGCAGCTATCAAGTGGGCCCCTGACTCATGATGACCTCATGCACAATGGAATGAAACACTGTGCCATCCCCATAACTGGTTGGGGATCAGACTGTTGTGGTGCTTAGGTTTTCATCGGCTGATTTTCAGGAGTAGATAGCCAGGCCTTTTTTACTAGTTGCATCTTAGTTTGGAAACACCTGATGAAACATGTTCAGCATCACAGCAACATGCAGGTCTTCACAGACAGATGAGTGGTGGCTGTGCAAGAAGTGCACTGGCCGGGAATCAAACCGAGTCTCCTGCATGGACCACCAATGTCTCCCAACGTACACACCACCTCATGGCAACCCTCACAGCCCCATGAGGCACACATCACTAGTTCCATCATAAACCAAACCACACCCACTGCCGTCAAGTTGATTTCAACTGACGGTGATCCGATAGGCCAGAGGAGACCTGTCCCCATAGGTTTTCCAAGGCTGTAGTATTTATGGAAGCCGACTGCTACATCTTTTTCCTGTGGAGTGGCTGATGGGTTCAAACTGCCAACCTTCTGGTTGGCAGCCAGGCGCTTAACCACTGTGCCACTAAGGCTCCTTAACTCCATCACAGACATGAGGAGACAGAGGCTTATAGACCCTGGGTGACTCACTCATAGTTAATACATTTCAGAGCCAACACTTGAACTCAGATTCTCTGAGTTCTTCAGAAACACCCTAGCATTTTAAGGCTTTGTTGACTGGTGCAGTGCCTAAGGCATTTGACTGCTGGCAAAGCAGAAGGCTGGCAGTTCAAACTCACCAGCCACTCCCTGGAAGGAAGATTCGGCAATCTACTTCTGTAGTGATACCACCTCAGAAACCCAAGGAGGGGTCACTGTGAGTCGAATCCAACTCCACAGCAGTAAGTTTTTTATTTTATTTTTTTACTAAATGTAAAGGGCTTGCCTCTGAGCCCTCGGAGACCAAATGGTGTCCCAGTCAATGTACCCAGTGATGTCACCTTCCTCTTCCAGACTCCTGGAACTTGCTGGCATGAGTGTTCCCAGTGCTTTCCCAAGACCTGCCTCCCCTGGCCTCTAACTCTCACAGCTACCTCTCCTTTTGCCCTAGAATGACTCTTCATCTTTGATGACCAGACAAAACCCAGGCCCATGGCCCATCCCAGCCCACCTCAAAGCCCTGTCCGAGCATTCCCAGCGTCCTGCTCACCGGCCAGTCTTGGTCAGCACGATGATGGCCGCAGCACAGCACTTGAAGGCAGCCTCCACAGCACCAATGGCAGTGACCTCGGTGGGATCACGGCTCAGTGGTGCTGCCCGGCGCAGCTCCTCAAACAGCTGCTGGTGATAGACTGCAGCCTCTGCCTCTCGGGCAATCTGCAGGCACCAGGAAGTCAGGGGGGCAGGGCACTGGGGCTCAAAGGGGTTTGGTTCACTGGCCCATTTGCCCCATGTTCCAAGCTCTTACCGCGTGCTGCATCTTTACAGCCTCCACAGGAAATCTGCCCTTGGCAGTCTCCCCTGACAGCATGATACAGTCTGCCCCATCCAGCACAGCATTGGCCACATCACTCGTCTCTGCACGTGTTGGTCGGGGCTTGGTGATCATACTCTCCAGCATCTGGGGACACCTTGGATGTCAGCTATGGGAGTCACACTCCCATCCAGGGTCCTGCCCAAGCTATCCCTCTGGCACCCACACTCTCAGAATGTCACTGAAAGCCAGGGTCACAGACCCCTGAAAATGGAGGTCACATTATTTCTTCCTAAAGTCCCTGCATTTGAGGATCAAACACCAGACAGTAAGACGTGCTACAGACCCAAGATGTGAGGCTTCTCCCTCATGTGTCCCCAGAGCCCACAGAGTGCCCCAGTCCTCAAGGCTCACTCCAGACCTGTGTGGCACAGACTACGGGCTTGCCGGCCAAGTTACAGCGCCCGATCATCATCTTCTGGGCCAGGAAAACCTTCTCAGCTGGGATCTCGATGCCTAGATCTCCCCGGGCCACCATGATGCCATCGCTCACCTCCAGGATTTCATCAAACCTGGGTGGTTGGGGGAGTCAGGAGATGCCAGGGAGAGGCAGGAGGGAGAAGGGAGGATACTGTAGGGCCTGATGGGACAGGTAAAGACCAAGCCTCACTTCTTCACGCCTTCGTGGTTCTCAATTTTGCTGATGATCTTGATGCCTTGCCCTTCTGGCCCCAGAGCAGCCCGGACGGCTTCCACATCACTGGCCTTCCGCACAAAGGAGGCAAAGATGATGTCCACACCATGCTCCACACCGAAGCGAAGATCCTGGGTATCTTGCTCAGACAGCCCAGGCAGGTCCACCTGGGCACCTGGCAAGTTCACCCCCTTCCGGCTGCCCAGGATTCCACCGTTCTCCACTTTGGTCACCAGCCCCTCTGGGCCTGTGGGCATGGAGAGAGGCAACCTGGTCAGAAGTGTGGTCAGGGCATAGTCACAACAGTGGAGACATTGGGCTTTGACTCCTGTGACAGCAGGAACCATGCAGGGGTAGATTACCCATTAAGCACCGTAAGCATGGGCTTACTTGTGCTCATTTATTAATCTGTAGCAACAGTTTCACATGTTTTTAGATGTGGTAAAAACACGTGAAACTGTTCACTACAGATAGTAAAAAAGCACAAGTAAGCCTGTGCTTACCTTGCTTACTGGGTACCCATCCCTGTCAGGGACTGTAAATTTGAAAGGAGGTTTTGATTTTGAAGAAGGGTTCTATGGGGTTAGGAGAGAGACAGATGCCAGCCATACCTGGAAGCAGAATCTTTGATGTGATGAAAAAATGTGAAATTGTTCACTACAGATTAGTAAATAAACCCAAGTAAACCCGAGCTTATCTTGTTTATTGGGTAATCCGACACTATTCATCTCTCCGTTCCTGGACTGGGCCTTGCACCAAATAGAACCCGGTGGGGGGTGTGTGGGAGAAAAGACTAACTCACAAGCTCAGTACCAACTCTGGGTGAGCGCTGCGGTCAGGTTACTGGGAGACCCCGGGATAATATGGGAGGAGGCGTGGCCAGGGGAAGGCGTGGCCTGTCTAAAGGGCGAATGAAGGAGCCAAAGGGAAGAGAGTGCACCCAGCGTCTGGGCGTGGCCAGGGCGGGAGGCGCGTCCGCACCGATTTTCTTGACCACTAGGGAGATGAGCCCGTCGTCAATGTAGATGCGGCCCCCCACCGGCACGACGTGGACGATATTGGGGTAGTCTACCCACACGGTGTCCGCGTCCCCGTGCGTCCGGAACGCTAGGTCCCCGGTCACCAGCACCTGGGAGCCTTTCACTAACTCCACCTCCGACTCCGGGCCCTAGAGGCGGGGCCAGAGGGGCCGTGAGTTCTGTCCCCAAGATGTTCAGGACCCGCCCCGTCGCTCAAAGGCCTCCGCCTCTCTCGTCCTCTTCCCCGCCCCCGCGTTTCTCTCCGCTTCTCCCTCATTTCCCTCTTCTCTCCCTTGCCGCCCTCTTTTTTTCTCTTCCTCCCTTCCCCTGCGGTCCTCTAGGATCCGCCAAGCTCCCTAGGTCTTTTGGCCCTGTTCCCAGAAGACCTGTTCATAGGTCAGGTCCCACCCCTTTGGCCCTGCGCCCTGCTTCCTGACCTCGTCCTTCCTTCTCCTTGATTTAGGCCCAGCTCCCGCGGGTCCCTAATCCCAACAGGTCCTTCTCCCGACTGGCATTTCCTGTGTCCCTCTTCTGGGCCCCACTTGCAGAGAGTCTAGCTGTGCTGGTGACTCAGTTCCCCTCTCCTCCCATCCCATTCCCCGTACCTTTCCCAGGCCTCGCCCCTGATGTGATTTGCCCGGGCACCACCTCTCACCCCCCGGAGGATCCCTGTCCGTATCTCAGGTCCCTTGGTGTCCAGAGCGATGGCCACGGGCCGGTAGTTGAGCGGGGAGGTTGCAAAGCTTTCCACGGCCTCCCGGATGTTGGAGATGGACTCAGCGTGGTACTGGGGGCCGGAGAGGGGCAGGCATTTCAGAGTAGGTGGCTTGGCCCAGGAGGTATTCCATCCCCACCCGTCTCCCAGCAGCCTGGTGCCACACCTCGTGGGAACCGTGAGAGAAGTTGAGTCGTGCTATGTTCATCCCGGCCTTGATCATTTCCTTGAGGCGCTCCACAGAGCGAGAGGCGGGCCCTGGAACCAGAGATCCCACTTAAGACACCCTTTCCCAAAAAAACCTGAGATGGAGAAAACCATCCCTACCCTCACAGGCTTCCCAAACCACAGAAGTCCTGATACCCCATCTTTATTTCCTGATTAGATTCTTGTCCACAGGTCAGAAACACTGTTTTCCTCTCCAGCCAACAATGCCTCCCTGGTAGGCAGCAGATTGCGTGGGGATCTGTGTGTGTGTGTGTGTGTGTGTGTGGTTGTTCTGAGCTAGGCCTGAGGGAACAGGAGTTGCTGTGATGTGAGGACTTCAGGGTGGGGATAACCCCAGGATTTAGAAGGTGTGGGAGGGGTGGAGCCCGGTGAGGGCTTTTGGAGTAAAGGGCTTTAGGAGCTAAGAGGCCTATTGACTGAGGAGAGCTGAGTTCAGTTCTGCTCAGCCAATAGGGGAGCTGTGTGACTGACAGCCAGCCCATCTAACCTTTCAGGGTGTCCAGTCCCTATCAAAAGTCAACTCCGTCATTTGTGCTCTAGGTATCTTTCTCCTCACTTGATCAAAGACATAGATTCATCTTTTCTTCCCTCTACATCATCAATGTTTTCCTTTTTATTGGACCATTCCCATCAGCATATAAGCATACTGTTATTCCTTTCATTAATTTTTCTCTTTTTAATCCCAATATGTTCTCCAGCTGTAGTCCTATTTCTTTGCTCTCCTTTGCAACAGAACTCATGGCAAGAGTTAGTTGTATTTGCTGCCTCCATTTCTCCTTCTGCACTCTCCAGTCAGGCATTGGCCCCATCTCTCAGAGGCCCCAAGAACTTTCTGTGCTGTTGCTGAATTGAACGGTCAATTCTCAGTCCTCATCTTACCTGGCCCATCAGCAGCATTTGACACACATCTCCTCCTTGACACACCTTCTTCACTTGGCCTCCAAGACACCACCATCTCTTGGTTTCCATCCTGCCTCACTGGCTGCTCTTCTGAGTTTCCTTTGCTCATTTCTCTCCTGAACATTAGATGGCTCACTCTTTTCTCTCATTTTTCCTTAACTCCCTTGATCTTAGCTACTCTCATAGCTTTATAAACCATCTCTATGCTGAGAACTTCATCTTTTCTATCTTTAGTCCAGGCCTCTCTCCAAACTCTGAGTTGTATATCTGATTTCCACTGTACTTGAGTGAGTCATATGTACCTCAAACTCAGCATTGTCCCACAATCAACTCCTTCCCCAAGGACTTGTTCCACCACAGTCTCTCTGGCTCAGTCAATAAAGCCATCCTTCCCATTCCACAGGCTGAAAAACTTGGCATCATCCTTGAGTCCTTTCTTTGTCAACTCCCCTATCCCATCCACTCCATGGGGAAATCCTGTTGATTCTACCTTCAGATTACATTCAGAATCTGACCACTTCTGACCACTTCTCCCAAATCCCATTTGGTAATGAGTTGTCTTTGTTATGTTAATGAGACAGGGTTAGTGTAAGGTGTGTCTTGCTTGAGTCATCTCTTTTGAGATATGAGAAAGATTAAACAAGAAAGTGAACAAGCAGAGATGAGAGAAGAGAGATGCCAAGCCACATAAAGACTGCCTAGGAGCAGAAGTTTCCTGCAGAGCTGACACAGAGAGAAAGCCTTCAACTAGAGCCAGCACACTGGATTTGGACTTTTAGACTCCTGAATTGTGAGAAAGCAAATTTCCCTTTGTTAAAGCCATCCACTTGTGGTGTTCCTGTTATAGCAGTCCTAGAGAACTAAGACAATTCATTAATATTTTTTCATAGTACTTATCACTTGTTTACATACTAAATATTTATTGTCCTACCCAAATAGACTGTCACTTCCCCAAGGAAGCTATCTGTTTTTTTCCAACAACAAGTACATTGTTGGGTGAATGACTCTGTCAAACATGGAAAAGTCTCAAAGGAGACGAACAATGAGGAAGCACCTTGAAAAACACCCAAGAGGCCCCGTGAGGCTGCAGGGGTGGTGGGATTGGGGTGCCTACCAATGGTGGCAATGATGCTGGTACTGCGAGCGGCCACAGGCTCTGAGTCGATGTCCAACAGGCAGAGATGCTCCAGGAATGTGTCCGCCATAGCAGCCGACAGCTGCTGCCGCTGAAAGAAGGCAGTGCCCAGCTCCTGGGCCACACTGGCCCGCCGCAGGTACCCCGCTGGCCCTGCAGCAGAAGAGGGTTCAGGGGGCTGCAGGGGCACCTGCCTATGTTCCCCATCCACTTATCTCAGATCACCCTCTACTCCTTCCCTCAGCTCTCTGGTTTTGTTGAGCCCTTCCTACCAGCTGGACATTATGTATGAATTATCTTATTTAATCACAAGGATCCTATGAAGTAGGTACTATTAAACACTCTGTAATTATCCCCCACCTCTTTTTACAAATGAGGAAACAGGCTGAGCAAGATTAAACAAATTGCAGCTTTCTTACAGCTTCTAAGTACCAGACATGAAATTCAAATCCAGGTCTGGATAACTCAAGCTGAAGTTCTTGGCCACCAGCTATTTCAGTCCCTCCTTACCCTAGACTTCTTGCCATTCAGGCTCATAATCACCCAGTCCCTTCTCCTAAGGTCCCTGTTTTTCTCCTTCCAACCCTTGGTAATTGGCTGGCTTCCACACCCCCTCCTCTGAATCTCCCCAACCTCTTCAGTGCTGCCTCAGGCTCTGGGCCCCCTCAACCCAGCCCAGCTCAGAGCCCCACTTGCAGCCACACCCTCCATGTCACTGCACGCCTGCTGGTTTTGGTGGGTCTGTTGAGGGATGAGGCCCAGCTGGGCTAGGGATCAGTTCTGACGACTGGTTAAAGTGTCACCAGTGTCTCCCCTGCCACTGGGATCCCTCTATGCCAGAGGCCAGAGTCCAGGAAACACGGGCATGCCCCGTGGTTCACATGCAGGCTCCCCTCTGAGCTGCCCTGATCAGGACCCATAACTTAACCCAGGGGAGACTGAGATGAAAACAGATCTTCCCCAAGCCCCTTCTAGTCAGGTGCAGACATACATTTGTACCCTTACCCTGACTCCTGATTTCTACTCTCATTTTCCCCCTCTGTTCAATGGCTGTAGTCTCTGTGTAGCGCAACAGTCAAGCACTCCATTATTAGCTGAAAGATTGGCATTTTGAACCCACCCAGCAGTGACTTGGAAGACAGGCCTGGCATTCTGCTTCCAAATGGTCACAGCCTGGAAAACCCTATGGAGCATCTTACTCTGCACACATGGGGTCGCCACAAATTGCAGTCTATAGCAACTCAAAACAACAGCTCAATGGCATGTGTTTCCTGTTCTTACCTCCTGGAGCCCCAACCAAGATGGACTTTGCAAAGTCCCTTTGAGACTTAGAGACCCGAGACCAAAGCTGCTGGGGTGGTGTGTTCTCCTGTACTGACATGTTTCCGAAGCATGGACTTGCGGCTGCCTGGACCAAGAAGAACAAGGGAGAGGAGGACAAAACTGCTGCTCTTATCTAGGGGAGCCAGAGAAAAGAAAAGGGGCACACCCATAGGCCACCCCTGCCCCACCCAGAGCTACTCCCCCAGACCTGCCTGCTTTCTGCTCCTGTCTTCTGCCATCGCAGCCCCCGCAACCCATTTTTCTTGATATATTCTCAATCCATTCATCCTGTCTGGTCATCAACTAAGGAGCTCTAGTGGTGCAGGCCTAAGGCATTCGACTACTAAGCAGAAGGTTGGTGGTTTAAACCCATCAGCCGCTCTGTGGAAGGAAGACGGGGACAATCTCCTTCAGTAAAGATTGACAGCTTTTTGTTTACAGGCCATTTAGTTTATGCTAATGGTGGTGGAATATTTTGGAAAAGGATAGCAATAATGGTGGCACACACACAAAAAATATTTATAGCCTTGGAAACCCAATAGGGGTCTCTGTGAGTTGGAATTGACTCCATGGCAGTGGGTTTTGTTTGGGTTTGGGTCATCAACTTGAGATTGTTACCAGGGATAGGACCTTTTTCTTTGTACTTTACTGAAGTTAGCCCTAGATGAAAGGAGCCCAGGTGGCACAAGCAGTTTGTGATCAGCTAACCTGACTGCTAACCAGAAGGCTGGCAGTTCAAACTCACCAGCCACAGCTTGGAAGGAAGGTTGGGCAATTTACTTCCGTAGAGATACCGCCTCAGAAACACCAGGATGGGTCGCTATGAGTTGGATCCGACTCGATGGAAGTGCATTTGATTTTTTGGTTTTAGCTAACCTGAAGGTTGGTGGTTCAAACCCACCCAACGGCTCCATGAAAAAAAGACCTGGTGATCTGCTTCCATAAAGATTACAGCCAAGAAAACCATGAGCATGTAGGGTTGGGACATGTAGGGTAGGGAGCATGTAGGGAGCCTAGAGAAAAGGGAAGGGGAGCACTTTGGTGCTGTGGTGAGATGCTTGAGGGCTTTGATTGCATCATCATCCTAACAATGGCCACCGTTTGCTCAGTTACAATCTGTATTTATTGAGCACCTACTCTCTGAGGTCCTGAGCTACAGCTCTGACTGCTTTTGCTGGTCTGTGGAATTTACACATAGTAAGGGAGATAGACTATAAACAAGTATCAAACAAAGAATATAGTACAAGCACTATGTAGGCAGGTGCTATTTAAAAAATAAAATCTATTTTGGAACAGAGAAGCCAGTAGGGAAAAGCAAAGGGAATTTATTTTAGATGAGGTGGTCAGGAAAGGCCTCTTTAAAGTGATCATATTTAAGCTGAGATTTGAGGCTGAGAAGGAATAAATTGGGGGTGAAAGGGGGCAAGGAGCAACTTGTGGGGGCAGAGAGAATAATATGGCACAGCTCTAAGGAAGAGAAAAGCTTGGTGTCAAAGAGGAAGAGCTGCAATGAGGTGAGTGCTGGGATGGAGGAGTGTGGTCCATGGAAAGTTGGAGACCTAAGCAGACCTTGTGGGCCTGGGTAGGAGTTTGGACTCTGAATTGCAATGGTTTTAACTAGGGGGAGTGACATGCTCCAGCTGATGCTTTTAGACCCCTCTGGTAGCGTAGTGCCTAAGGCACTTGACTGCTAACCAGAAGGCTGGCAGTTCAAACCCACCAGCCACTCCTCGGAAGGAAGATGAGGCAATCTACTTCCATAGTGATACCGCCTTGGAAACCCAAGGAGGGGCTGCTAAGAGTCGGATGTGACTCGAGGGCAATGAGTTTGGTTTGGAGCCGGTGGGTGGAGAACAGAGGGTAGTGGAGCAGGATGGCACAGGAAGACCAGCAGGGTGGTGGTTGTTAGGAGGAATCTAGGTGAGAGGTGATGGACTGGCTGGTGGCATGGGAGATGGGGAGATGAGACAGAACAGACATGCCTTTTGGAAGATGGGGGACAGGGTGGAATGACAGAAGAGATGTGGGGAATAGGAGAAGGAGCCTTTTGTCACCTGAAGGATGACACTGAGGATTCTGGCTTGAGCAGTTGGGTACATGGTAGTGCATTTACTAAAGCCAGGGATGAAATGGGTTTTAGGGGGAAATAATCAAGGTTCCAGTTTTGGACAAGTTTGAGATGCCAATTCACCATTAAAATCAATAGGCAGACAGTTGGATCAGTTCACTGAGCACTTACCATGTGCTGGAACAGCATTTTCAATGCCATCATCTCCTTTTCTCATCTCAACAACCTAGAGGGCTGGTAGGATGAATAGCCTGTTTTATCAGTGAGGGAACTGAGGCTCAGCACAGTGTGCTGGGTACCTTCTGTTGCCTCTCCAGATTCCTTCTCCACCCTTCTCTGGGCCAGGAGGCTGACATATGTGGACTGCATCAATGGGCTCTCTGACTTCTGTAGGGTTTGGCCTGTTGGAAGTGCATCAACAGGAGATGAGACAGAAGTGATAGGGTTGGCGCATATCCCTTCCCAGCTCCTTTCCTGCAAGGTCACTATAGGTCACAGCACCTGCCAGGGGACCTTCTTTCTCCAGATTCTAGGAACCATTCTCTGCTCATCCTCTGGGTCTAAAGGTGGCAACAGCCTGCTGTTACTAGATCTGCTACAATGTTATCCCTTGTGGTTAACCAATACCCTGCTCACCCCTTTGTAAATCATCCTGCTATAAAACAGTTCTCAAATTATCCAATGTGAGAGAGCCCTCAATATTCTGATGAAACAGCCCAATCTTTTTTTTTTTTTTTTTTTCCGTTTTAAAACTTCTTATTGTAATTTGTTTGGGTGAAAGTTTACAGAGCAAATTCATTTTCCATATAGCAGTTAATTCACATTGTTTCTTGACATTGACTGCAATTCCCCACAATGCAACAGCTCTCTTTCCACTTCCTCCCCATGTTACCTCTTCCCTGTATCCTTCCCTCCCATACACTCTCGCCCCCCCAGCTGTCTCCCTGTGCAATCACTGCCCTTTTGTTCTCACATGATTGATTGCTCCAAGTAGTGTCTCTATCTGATGTAGATGTTTACCCCACATACCTGTCTTTTGTTTAGCTGGAAGCCACAGGAGTGAATTCAATTCCATACCTAAAGGGTAGCTAAGGGCCGTAGTCTCAGGGATTTCACCAGGCTCTATCAGACCAGAAAACCTGGTCTTTTTTATGATTTGGAGTCTTGTTCCACATTGTTCTCCCACTCTATCCAGGATCTCCTGCACTGATCCCCTCTGAGTGGTTGACAGTGGTAGCCGAAACTGCCTGATACTCTTACGTAAGGCTGTATGTCTTAGAAGTGGTGGAGCTGGCATTCAGACCCAGACAGTGTGGTCCCAGAGCCTGAGCTGTCACCACTAAGCTCCACTCCTTTCTTTTTTTTTTTCCAGTGGGAAAGAAGGTGAGGAGCCTCAAGAAGTTAGACAGTAGAAAGACTTCCCAAGGAAAAATGAGCATGGGGTTCCTAGGAAATCTGTAAAGAGAAGACAGAACAAATAAAGATGGACAAAAGTTGTGACCAGAGGGAACATGGTAGATCTCAAAGCTGGCAATTTTAAATTGACTTCAGGATCAGTTGGGAGAACAGGAATACCAGAGATCCCAGCCCTAAATGGTTAACAGGAAGTGGGGTGGTGCCCCAAAGCAGCACCTGTCCTGTCCAGCCAAGGGACAGGAGCTTTGACCTGAAATCAGGTCAAAGAGGAAAAGCAGTCTGGCTGACTCTGGGTCCACATGAGAGATTGTTTGCACATTGTCAGTGGGCCAGGCAGCCTTAAGTAGGAGGAAGCCAGTGGATGAGGAGAGTGGGAGAGCAACAGCGCCAAGGATCCAAACAGGACAGGCATGTTCTGCTTTATCATATGGGACCATTCCCTGTGTCCCAAACAACCACACTCCAACACCCTCACACATCCAACACATGAAGACATAGGCACAGATACGAGTGAGGCTGCCGTTCAGTCCTCAAACATGGGGTGAGTCCCCACCACATGCTGGCCCCACACTGGGCTCCGAGGATGTGAGGCCACTAAGATGAGGTCCTTGCCCCTAGTGGGGAAGGAGACAGGAATGTCAATGTTACATTTAATAAAGCCTGTCAGCTGGGTGATGGAATTGAGTTCAGGAGACTGATGGGCACAGGGAAGACTGTTTTGGGTTGGGAAGGAGGTCAGGGTGGCTTCACAGAGGAGGTGATACCAGAAAGGAAATGAGTCTGCCCAGGACTAGGACACATGTGCATTCATGCACACACACACACCACATGAGCACACACAGACATGACACAGACATGTGCATACACGCGTGCGTACACACAACACACACTTGTGCACACACATACATACTTAGATGCTACACACCTGGACTTCATATGCTTTCCCTCTACACTTGCTCACACATGCATGCATGTACCCACACGCACACTCACTCTCACCTCTCTCACACACTCACACAATCCACTCTATCTGGCCTGGCTGCCCAGGATCTTGGCATTTGGCATTTTATTCTGCCAATCGCAGCACACCAGCCACACCTGCCTCACTCAGGAAAAAGGGGTGCCCAGGAGCCCCTGACCAGGCTGGGGAGAGGGTGCAGTGCAGGCTGCTGGGCAGGAGAGGCAATGTGGCCCACGTCCCCTTCAGGTGCCCCTTCTTCAAACTCTACTGCAACGTGAACCAGCCATGCTGGGGTGGAGAGACACTCTGACAGTCAATTTTGTCATCTGCAAATATAGATAACACTGTTGGGAGGACACAGTATTATAATGTCCCTGGAAGCGTGAGAGGTGTGTGAAGGGTGAGTACAAAATAATTGCTGTTGTGCACATGTGCAGCTTAAGCAATCAGAATACCTAAACCAAAATGCCAAACCCACTGCTGTCCAGTCTATTCAGATTCATAGTGTCCCTGTAGGACAGAGTGGAACTGCTCCATAGGGTTTCCAAGCCCCTAAATCGTTATGGAAGCAGACTGCCACGTTTCTCCCATAAAGCTGCTAGTGGGTTCCAAC